CTCTTTCCTTCCTTCTGTCCTTTCCTTTCTGAATTCCCCTAAACCTTTAAGGGCAGCATAACTTTTCATCAACCTGCCTCTCATCTATTGTGACAGTTGTATCTCCCCTACCTTCTTTTCCTTCTCTTGCTTTCTCTGCAGGACTACTGTTGATCAGTTTGAGCAGTTTTTTAAACATCTTTTTTAGATTAATGGACTGATCTTGATTAATCCAGCAGTGTGTTGTTGTACATTCTAAAATGAATACAACAAATGCCAAAACTATCAAATACAACAAAATACACTTTAGATGAGATGTAGCAGTTTGTAAGCAAAATAAAATGAATGTAGATGTAGACCCTACCCACCTCCTTGTTTCCTGAGCTGAGGTACATTAGAGCAGCACTTTAAAATGAATTTGGATTTATCCTTGATGAGCTTAATAATTGTCCAGTTATAAAAGTAATAAATGTATTCTGTAGCTATACACAGTTTAACAACATAATTGTATATAGTGTACAGCTAACAGTAGGTCATATAATGACTTAAACTGTAACACTGCTCCTCTCTTGTGTGTCCTTCCTTCACACACCTTCCAAAGAGAAAATGCGGTCTCCCAGGGCATCTACGATGTCATTGAGTGCAGCTTCATCGGTCACATTGAAAAAGTATTTCTCATCAGGGTCACTGGCAATATACTTGATCTCTTTAATGAACGTCTCAGGGTCCTGCTGCCGGCGGATGTAATGACCCAGAACCTGGAACACAGCGTGGAAGAAAGAGAGAATGAATAAATAAACAGTACAAGCTCAATTACACATTAACGAAATAAGGTGTACTCAGAGTAAAACCTTAAAAGCAATAGAAACAGAGCATAAACAGAAACTTTGGCATGTACCAGAGCAATTACAAAATCCATATTTCAGAGGGACAGGAATGTCATAGAGTGCACAGTTTGACAGAAAAGAAGAGAGGGCCAACACCACTTCCAGAACTCTGAAGTAGCACACAAGTAACCTGGAACTGCAGGATTTAACTGTCTATAATGAAAATAAATACACCCCTGAGTGGAAAAGATAAAGGAGAGATTTGTAAGGTGCACCGGCCTAGCTGAGAGGTGAGGAGATAGCCGATGCAGAGGATATACTGTAGCTGCAGTGGCCTTTGGCTTAACGCCTGATGTGCAAATGAGAAAATTCCATAAGGGAAACCAAACCCAAGAATCTTCCCCTATGACTCCGCCTGCAAAGCAAACTAAGGAAATCCTCTGTTTTCAAAGCATAGGAGATGGAGTGGGGTGCAGTGTGCAACGTGAAGAGAGCCCACACATAAATATGTACACTAGGCTCTTATAGAGGCCGAGAAATTCCTTTCACACTGCCGACAGCTGCTGGCTTTCAAAGCCTGGGAAATGTAACTGTATTTAAATATAAGAATGTGTCCATACGTAATGTACGTGGTTCTACATTAACCACGCTCCCACAAACACACATTTCTAGCAACCTCTGATGTATAAAACACAGTCTGCAGTCACATGCTCTTGTTTTGAAAGCTCTGTCCTCCCTTGTGGGCCATTTTCACTGCACAAACACACGGGTACAGAGAGCAACACCAAAACATGACTACTCTTACCTGTCATCACTTTGACTTTTTGGCTAAACACTAACAAACTGTAAGATCCACCTCATTCTCTTTTGCTTGTTTCTTCTGTTCACTTCAGCCTGTGCATACAATTGTTGCTCTACAAACACCATGAGTTACTGTATCTGGCTGTTTATTTCCTTCTGTCAAGTCAGACAGCATTATGTTGTGACCATATCAGGTAGTTAGAGTAGTTAAGTAGCCCATGGTGATATGACCATAACAACATATTTTAACACAGTTTATTGTCTGGAAAGGTGGATATGAGCTTCACCATCTACATACAGTATATTTCTACAGTGGTGCTCTGCGATTCTTCTTTCATGCTGCCTCATGTTCTCCTCTGATGTGGGTCCAGAGAGGTCTGAGGCTTCCAAAGCTTCTCTTGTGGGACAGGGAGGGGTCTGCAACCGGTCCTGCCACCAGAGTACGTATGTCTGCTACTTCGACACTAAAATACCACCACTCTCTGTGTTTCTGTGTGTTGAGGGGTCAGGAGGAGCTAGAAAGGAATAGTTGCTGATCCAACTAGGCTATTTTGGTAGAGCCAAGGGGTTAATTTGGTCATTTGGTAATGTTATTTCTAGGGGAGCTGGTGGTATTGGGTGGTTCTTGAGGCTGAACAGCATATGGTCAGTGTACCACTTGTACAGTACACACAATATGCAAAGAATGTCAAGGATGCTCTACACACCCCGGTGATAATGTAGGTTAGTTGTTTGGCTGTTTCCCACAATAGTTTAACCAGTCAGGATAGAAAGAACTCCTCAATCAACAGTTTGAGCATCATGAGACATTAAAACCATCACATAAAACCCCCAAATTATAATTCTTTTAGGTTAGCAGCTCCTCAGACCCAAATGATCCACTGACACTTGATGTGATGTACTTACAGCAATGGCATATCTGGTTATGTTTCTGTTGTCACACTCCTCTAGAGCATCTGGTAGCTCCTCCCCATCATGTGACTCTCCGTCTGTCACTACGATCATCACTTTCATGGCGCCCTCCCTCGCTCCACGTTCAACGCTGAATGCCTCTGTGCTACAAAGTAAGAAAATGAGACAAATGTCATTCTGTCCCTAATCATGAATCCTGGTCACCTGAATCTGATGTTAGACAGAGAGTGCAAGGAAAACACTCAAAATAGAAATAAAGTAAAGGAGTGAGAGGGCTGGAGGGAGAGGGAGGACCCCTGGGAGTATCCAGTTGCTTGGTTTCCTAAACCTCCTCAATAAGATAATATACAATTTCAAGAGAAAAACAAAAACCTAGTAAAACTCTAAGACATTCAAGTCTGATATAAACGGCTCAACTGACAACTGGAGTTTCCTGCAACTATTTTAGTCATACTTGACACATACATTAGCTGCCAGTTGACTCAAACTGGTCATTGCATGCAGCATGCGTCACTGTACACAGCGACCGCATCTGTGCATTGCCATCCGGCTGTGCCATGACACAGAGAGGAAGCCTAAATGACAAACACATGAGCATACCCAAGCCGCACCCTGTTTGTCTGCAAGAAACCTGTTGTCAGTGGGACCTGCTTCAAGTGCTGAATAAGGTTGGTAAGCCTCAGACCAGCGCACACACAGTAAACTAGGGAGAGTAGTCACTTCAAGTGAACTCAGTCATTTTCAGGCCTAACTTCAGCCTCTGCCTAAATATAACACTGGTCAGCCACAAGAAACTCAATGTTAAAAACAACCATTTCCCCTATGCAGTCTGCAAATTACATAGGGTGCAGAGAAGGCGAGGAGAAAATAGAAGAGAGAGTTAGAAGTAAAAGAATGGAGTGGAACAAATGGAAAGAATGAGGGGATAGCTAGAGAAAAGGGAGAGCAACGTAAAAAACAAATAAACTTAACTGAAGATGAAAAAACAGGACACCTAAAAGTGCAAATCCTGTGGTAATGCAATGGATACTAAGACTGTGAAATATACAATGAAATCAAACTGGTAGGAGAAAGAAAAAAGCTTAAGAAAGGAGGGTGGTAGAGGAGAGAAGGAGAAATGACAACAACACAGACACAATCAGGTAAGAAAGGACAGAAGAAAGAAAAGCACAGAGAAATTAAGATGAATGAAACAAGGAGATGAGAGAAGGGGAGATGACAGAAAGTGTGTGGAGCTAATTGGGAGGCCTGGTTTTATTTACAACCCATTTTATGGAGTCACAGTAGTGTGGCAATGATACGGCACAGTGGTCTGTCTGTACTTTTGTGTGTCTGTGGGTGAGTCTCAGACGGGTGAAGTGAAATAAAAATCAGTTGCTAATCCAGTTGTAAAAGGCTGTGTGACGTTCATGCATCAGCCTGTCATCTACGCTGCACAATCTAAAGTCTATTACTGTTATTTACATGGCATCATTACACTTATGAGCAGTCGTCTCCCAACCGGAGGGTTGGAGGTTTGAATCTTGGTGCCTGCAGTCCACACGTCAAAGTGTCCTTGGGCAAGACACCCCCAAGTTGCCCCCGATGGTTAGAGCCATTGGTGTGAGTTGGCGCCGCAGATGGCTGCCTCGGTTCTGTACTGGAAACAAATTCCTTGTGTGTAACATACTTGGCCAAATAAAGGTGATTATCCTTACTGTCCCTACTGCACAGGAAGATGAGGGTCAGAAATATTTGTATTATCTTTGAAACCTGTGTGTACAATGTACATTGCCTAGACAAGTGATTATGGTGTTCAAGATGTGACCTCAGAGCTGCTTTTAAATTGTTGTGGCTTCAAATCAAGTATTAAGACCTTGAAGGAAGGTCAGTTGTAATCTTTTACTTAACTGAGGGACAATGCAGCATCCTGTGATGGTGAACTCCTCTTTTTTGGAGTGCCAGACATTTTAATTATATTACATTACATCCCCTTTTCTTTTAAAGAGCTTTCTAAGCATAACCCTAATTAGTTTGGACAATATGTGTATTCACTTTTTTGTCAAGAGTTAGATGAAAGAATGATGCCACTTAAAAATGACCGCATACTGAAAGCTTACATGATTTTTAAAAAATTGCAGAAGTCCCGATCTACTGGTCATCTTCAAGGGAAATGAAATATGTTACTAGTGTCAAGCAAACACTTATGTGCTCGCATCTCACACCTGAGAACAATCTATAATTTGTGACATCATCAGTGAATTCACACAGGTGTTCTTAAATGAACAGCATGGTCAACCTTAGGACAACCTCCACAGCACATTCAAATCACATATAGAGACAATCAAAAATATAACAAAAACCCCCCCACTATAAGTTATGTACAATAAAATATTCAAATATATCTATATATGATTGATGTCTATATGGTAAATACAAAGCTACAACCAGCAGACATTAGCTTAGCTTACCATAAAAATAGGGCAACATATACTGTAGGCTTCATCTAGCAATATCACAATCTGTTTACCAGCACCTTGAAATCTCACTCATTAACATGTTATGTCTCGTTTGCTTAATTTGGGTGACACCATCTCAAGTCAGCTGTGTATGTGTGTACTAATCATCTTGGCAAGAACACGAAAATCGAATGCCTCCGTGACAGTGAGAGAGCTAAGTAATTGCTAAGTAACTGCCTTTGTAGTATAGAAATTAAAATGATATGTATGTGAATTTGAAGTGCATGGTGAAGAGTCCCAGATATGTGTGTAACAATTCATCTGTGCATGTGTGTACTGTACATGTCTGTGGGTGTATTTTTACAGCTGTAGGAGCCAGGCTGGGTTAGGACTGCCACACCTGCAGCCATGCTGAGTCAGCAGCTAGCTAGTCTTACTCAGCTACTCTCACTTCTTTTCTACTCCATCACTTTCCTGCCCTGTGCCAGTGCCACTGTGGGTAGAAATGTTTGTCTAAATTAGTAACTGTAATTAGTTACTTTTCACCACTGGTTATAGATGATCTACTCTGCTGAAACTGTAAAACCAAAACAATGGGCTAAAAGATGTTAAAATACGATATAGCTGAGAATGTATCATTCTTATGTGTTGGTCTGTTACTACAAGCCACTCTATTCAGATTACACATAGTCATATGATCTATTGTTAAAATAAAAATTATTGATTAGCATGGCCATGTCATACAGTTTAATCTAATCCTTCTGATCGCTGGATGAGCCCTGACTCAAAGGCAGCCTGAAGGGATTATACTGGAGCATATCATTAGAGAGGAGAATAGACCAGAAGAAAATAGACCTGATTGTCATTATAAGTATAAATTATACTGTGATATATTTAGAGAAGACCACTAAGAATGTTACATCAAAATCCAAACAGTCAGACAGTTTCCAATTATATAGTTAAGTCAAGTATGAGCCAGTAGGTGTGAAGTAGGACAAGCCTACCAGGCCATGTGGACAGCGTATGCAGTGCGTGTCTCTCGTCCCTCCTGTCGGCTGATGTTCTTGGCAGCCTCCACTACTTCTTGTGTGGTCCGGTAGTCCTTCAGAGACCACTCGTGGACGGCTACCTCGCCATACTGCAGTATACCAACCTGAATGTGCACGCAGACACACAAGCACTTCAACAATGCCACATGTTCGTAACTGTGATAGCTCATAGTCGTGGACAGAAGCATCTGAGACTTGTGTTTCTGTGGTGAACTATCTCTTTAAGTACAAGTCCTGTTCGTAGAGCAAACAGTGCATTTGGGGAATTTTTGAATTCATTCAAAAACCAGAGGCATTTCCTCTTCACCTTACATTGCCTACTACCCCTAACCTCCTCTCACTCCCCTTGTTGTTTAGCTCAGAATAATGTCACCATATCCCCTCTGCCAACTTCCATTCCTCCCCAACCTCAAGCTAGTTTGGATCATGTCCCTTTACATTACTACTGCAGTTCATTCTGAATATATTTGCCAAACTGGCTCTTTCATGTTTTCACTCATGATACTGGTTTCTCTTACTGTTCTGGGTAAAGGCTAGGGGGTTCCAGAGATGTAAGTGGGAGACAAAACTTAAATTTAAACCCACAAATTTCCATTACCACTGTAAATAATATTTACAGGCAGTGCGAATACACAGGAACTCACAGTTTTACCTGCATCTGGTCGGAGCTAATATGGAACTTGCTGAGGATGTTGCTGAGAAAGTTCTGGACCTCGTACCAGGGGTAGATACTGTTGGAACCATCCAGCACAATCACAATGTCCATGTATGTGGAGCACCCTGCCACATGTGGGAGTTTAAAAATATTTGGTTGGCTAAAGTAGACCTGTGCAGCATGTTTTCCTGCCTCAGTGCGTGTGTGTGTTTGTGCATTTATGTGCTTACTTTGTGCTGTTGGAGCAATGACTTCTCTTGGTTCTAGGTCATCGCTAACAGAGGCACAGATGCCAGTGCTGAACATAGATGTACCACACTCCTGAGACCACAGAGGGGCACATGCCTGTCAAACACAAGCACACACACAACAGCATCTGCTTTACAGGTGAAGTAATCTCGGGAATATTTACAGTCAGTTTGAGCAGTTTATATTTTTTAGTATTTGTGTTCTAGTCACAAGATGAGTAGATGATTTTTATGGTTATTATCAAAGGGTTTGGACACACAGACAAAAGTGGCTGGGTGACCGACATATAAACACAGTAAAAATGACTAAATAAGGACAGATGGGGAACAAAAAGAAAAAGGAATAAGTTATGGAAAAACTACAACAGTGTGGTTTGAGGGACAAAAATGAGGGCAAGTCAGAGAGAGAGAGTATTGTTGACATTTTGGCAGTCACTGTTGTTATGAGTGGTTTAACAGAGCTAGAACACCAGACCAATATAGCAATTTAAATCTGATTGTGCTAAATGTAGGGGGCCCAGTGTGGGATGGGGGGCATCACATAAAAATATTTCTATCTTCAAAGCATGCAGTTTATTGGCTTTCATACCAACAGGGAGGAATAAGGGGGAGAGTGCGGTGAGAGGAGATAAAAGGAAACTCATGCATACAACCAACAGGCATAAGAGGGAAAATGAAAGTGGGGTGAAATGTGAGTAGAATGAGAGAAAGAGAAACATCCCAGTTTTGCTTGCCCTGTCATTATGGATGGGTTTCTCCTCAGGCACACGGACAAACAGAGGAGAAGGGATGGAGAGAGGCAGGAGAAAAGGGAAGGCGGGAGAAGATAGAGAAAAGCAAGAGAGGTGCTATGGCTTTTGGCAGGTCTATCATTAACAAAGGGCTGGCGACGCATTCCTATCCTGTTATAGACCTGACCACTGGGGTTAAGATAAACACATGCACATGCACATTAGAGTAGGCTACGCTGGCTAGCATGTCGTGAAGTGTACACGGCTCCATGCCCGAAGCAGCGGTGAAATCCTGGCAGACAACAAAACATGCAATCACACTTGCTTAATGCACACAAAAAGACACAGGAACAGCCTGCACTTAACTTTCCCTGAATAAATAAAGGTGATGATGATGATAACAAAATGTTCACGTCTCACAAAATTATCTCCTACATTGCTAGAACAACAGAACGTAAACTTGTGCATTTAATTATTAGTCTAATAGATTAAAAGTATAACCTTAGTTCATTACCTCACTTGGAATAGATTATTTTGTAATACAGCCAATAGACTGAAGCTGGGTGGAGGTGGCTGATAAATGCTATATAAGCTAGAGCTGAAACAAATAATGGAATAACTCAGTAGTTGATGAATCAAAAATTAATCTGCAGTAATTTTGATAATCAATCATTTAAGCAGGTATGGCAGCAAAAGAGTGACCAGAGCTCATAAAGGCTCAGAGAAGATCACTGGATATACTGCATGTTGAGCTGAAATGAGAAAGCCATGTGTGTAGCACTGGACTCGAGCTCGCCTCCTGAACCAGCTCACAGGCTTTGCGTCATTTATGTAAACAATTACTACACTTCAACCTCTATCAGTGGTTTGGTAATGAAGAGTACTGCCTCCTCTGCAATACCACCACTGCTGTCCTCCAACACATCCTGTCAGGATGAAATGACCGCACAGGCCCAGGTGTGCTACTGATGGTGGCATGAGCAGATCCTGTGGAATCTGGCTGAAATATGGGAAACCTGCTAGCAGATTGAGAACAACCACCATCCCACAGCTGATGAACACTTTATCCAGTTCATCAGGCCTGGAAAGAGCATCATGGACACCAGGGTACAAGGCTCACCCAGACTTCTTCTCCAAGCAAAGGGATGGAACATGAGGGTTGACCTCAGCTGACAGCTGCAGTTCTCCCCAGAGATCACCACCACATCACGCCAACTAGACATTGAGCTCACCATCTGCTGGGAGTTGGGAGCTGCATGCAGGTGGCAGGCTAGACAATGGGTGGGGTGTTGGGAGGTGTATCTGGGCCAACACATCAGAGGTAGCAACCTACTGAGGCTTAAACCAGTCTCATAATAGGCAAGTATAATATGCATATATATTTTAAACCATTAATAAATAAAGATGTGGATTCTGCAAATGATTACTTGGTCTTTGTGTTAGACTTTGTAAACGTGTGTATCCAGGAAGTGTGGGTTCAGCAAGCCACACATGGTCACATCAAAAGTCAAATAAAAACACACCTACGGAGCTGATTCATTCAAAGACATGCAACCTGCTCTCACCACATCCCTTCTGGTTCCCACACATGACCCCAGTGCCCACGTAGCAAAACTTAATAGCTCTGTTTCCCAGTGTTGAGACCACATACCAGAAAACCATCAGGTGAGTCTGGGGTAAGGGTCATTCCTAGGTGAGAATTCCTCAGGTTTTTAGAAATGTTGTGGAAAGCAGTCTCACCTGAGATAGATACAGTAGAGAGACCTGTTTAGCATGAGTGTAACATGTTTAAGGTGAAGTTTTTCAGGGAATTTTGTTCAAGTCGTTTGTTTCTCTCACCTAGATTCACTTTGCTGCAGTTTGAGTTCTTCTCCCTTCCAACAATGCATTTGTAGACGTCTCCTTTCCTGTTGTTGGGGGGCCCGTCCCAGGGAGCCCCGACCAACATTCTTTAACAAGGTGACAGAGTTAACATCAAAACATCAGCGTACGTCCTCTTGGGTATGAGTTAAATTTGATTACTTGTTTCATCCTCTCTCTGTTTCACTCTCTCACACACTTACAATTTTTCTCCGTCTGCTTCATGCTGTAAAACAGAAAAGCCAAACAGAGCGTCCTCTGGACCGGTGAAGATACGTGGATGCTTTACATCTATGTTAAAACACTGACACAACTCTGGAAAACATGACAAAATATATTATTACACAGATAGCAAAGCAACCAAAAACGAAACACTTTTAAAATTGGCATTTGCTTGGTCTGCTAATCCCCACTGAGTGGTGCGAGGGTCAGTTGTTACAAACTCACACTGCTCAGCCAAAGTTTGTTCAAACTCACATAACTTTATTTTACATTCTAATGAAGCTTCCAAACACATCAACTATGTTACACTGAATTTTGAGGAAAAGTATAACATTTCCTTTTGTGCAGCCATAAAAACTTGGGTCTGAACATGTCATTCAGTGCAAATATTATTTAACTTACATGAAAAGTTGGAACAAGCTGATAGAGAATATAGATTTGGTACTGTGAGACAGTGGGAAATAGGATTATTTATCTAACCTTAAAGCAATTTAAGGGGAAATGAAAGGTTAAAGTGGATGTAAAAGAAATTTGCTTAGTCAAGTCCGTTTTTAAATTGAATAGCCCAGTATCACAAATGACAAATTTGCCTCAAGGGGCCTTTTTCTCTTGCCAAGAGTTAGATGAGAATACTGAATCCTCAACTAGGAGGCAAATAAGTATTTCCCATAATGCCTAACTATTACCTCAAATCATTAAAAATATGAATTGACCTAAACAAATTTTGTTAGCCATTGAAAAAAGTGGAAAACATACTAAATACAAATGAAGCTGGAAACTGTGTGTACACAACTGTGCAGAGTGAAATGATCATTTTCCCTCTTGGCCTTGGGGAGGGAGTTGGCAGAGAGACAAGGCAGGGGTTTGAAAATATGGATAAACAGAGTGACCAAAGGCAACCTCTGAGGAAAAAGGGAGTTCAGTTTGAGGGGAAAAGAGGAAGAGGAGAGGGGAAAGAAGAGGCAAGGCAGGGAAGGGTGTGGGTTAGAAAAACTATAGACTATAGATAGTCCCCTGTTGTGACACACAAGCCTGCCCTTCATACGTACAGAGAGAGAGCTGACGGAGAGAAGACATAGAGCAGCAAGATGGTTGTCAGACCGTTCACCGAGTTGTGAACATTGAGGTGTAAACTGAAGCATGAAAACACATTAAAATGGCAACATTAAAGACACCAAGCCTATATATTTACAGTCTGCAGGAACAAACTAAATAACAGCACCAGGAAAATGATGTCAAGGTTAATTAACATACAGGTAAATGAATGTTTCCTGCCATTAAACCAAAGGATCCAATTGCTAACTGATGACCTTTTTGTAGAATTCATTATTAAGGATAAATTTGGGGCTAGCTAGTTTTTAGTTATGGAAATTCCCCCTTCATTCCCCAACATGTTTTGTTATCTTGCCAACAGGGTTTATGAAGTTGTTTCTGGTTTCTTTTAACAAAACCAATCAATTTGTCATGTGATTTAATAAAGATAAATAATTCACCATACTATTTTTCATAATAGTACAGTTTCCTTTTACTGTATAAAGAGCATCTACAAGAAAAAGATAAGAAAGATAAGATACACAACATGATTGTACAGTGACATTCACTGAAGTCACTGCACTTGCTGATTGGCATCAGTTGGTTCACTCATGTATCACAATCATTTTGTGTCTGCATATGTGTTTATTAACACTATTGCCTGCTGCCAGGTCAAGCTGCAAATAGTCAACTCCTTGACACAAGTGTCTGTGACTGATCAAGATGTGGTTAATGTTGATCAACTAATATTGAAACTCACAAGGATCTACAACACATGCATTCTCAAAAGTAGTAAATGATTATGCAATTGCCATGGATGAGTTAAAAGTTTTAAAACTACTGCGTGCAGTTCAGAGAAAGGTAGAGCAGGACTACTGGTTCCCACTTGAATAAAAACAAAGAAATTAAGTTAACAGTTAACTTGAAATTTCAAAGAGAGTTTTAACATTTCACATTTCCTGTTTAACTAGATGTTTGCTAATATTGTCAGTAGCTCACATTTCTTAGCTATGCAATCCTACTTGAATTACAAAGCACTATCTTGTAGTATATTTAATTCAGCCTCAGAAACAGTATGCAGCTCTTGACAGTTGGTATTTACAGTAACATGTCCCACTTCTATATCTACAGCATGTTATCTGATGCCCTGAATACCAGGGTGTGTTGAATGTTTTTGTTAAAAGGGCTTTCTAAATAAATGTGGCTCAACATGTAGTTTAGCAGCGTCCGGTGGCATGTACAGTAACTCTTACACTGTACATAACTCAGTGATAAATTGGTCCAGGATTGGGGAACAAGACCAGAACACTGCAGCTGTGATTATGCACCAGCTACTCAAACATTCATGTTCTTCCCCACAAATACACACTGACACACACAGGCAGCTACCTCGGCCAGGCCAATAAGAGGGGGATTCCACTTGGTTTTGGGAAAGAAACTAGATATGTTCACTGTTTCTCTTCCATCTCTGCTCCTGCCTTTCTCACATTTTTCTTCAACCTATTCTTTCACTTAGCTCCTTCTTCCAGATGTTTCTTCCTGTCATTTCATTGTACTTATGTTTCTGCTTCTTCTTACCCAGATTTACTCATGGACATGTGATTATTTTATAAATGATGCTAGCAGCATGGCAATGTTGGTCTAGTGCTTGATCCATTACGTGGTCTAGACTGAAATATCTCATCTTAAATGGCTGTACTGACATAACAGTCATTCAGGTTTGTTCCCCAGCTGATGAAGCTGACTTTTTGTCTAGCGCCAGAGGTTCACACTGGTGGTTTTGAGTTCAATGTCCTGACAATTACAGGATGGGTTGGCATGAAGTTTAGCATCATGTTCTCCGCAGGGTAAGTTGTAATAAGTTTGGTGATCCTATGACTTTTCATCTAATGCTATTATCAGGTCAAAAGTTAAATACGTCCAGTCCTTTCATTTATGAATAAGTACCTGAAAAAGTAACAACATTCCCATCAGTCTCAGATGTGCTTTATATGTAGTAGTAATTAGCCAATTTTAACATGCTAACGCGCTAAACTTAGATGGTGACCATGGTAAATACTACACCTGCTTAACATCAGCATGTTAGCATTGTCCTTGTGAGCATGTTAGCATGCCAGTATTAGTATCAAGTGCAAAACATCTCTGTGCCTAAGTACATTCTCACAGAGCTGCTAGCATGGCTGGAGATTCTTAGTCTGGTTTCTATTGATCTTGCAGATCTGTATGAGCTTCCAAGATTTCAATGTACAAACCTCCTGTGACTTTGAGATTCAGCCATCTATTGGATTCTCACAGATGTTTAATACACTTCAGCAATGGGAATATGCGTAGGCAAGGATAGAGCAATTCCTTAACACTAACTCTTCAGTTTGTACTGGCAGAATGAATAAATGTCCTTCTATTCTAATTTGTTGCAAGAAGTTATTCTCTCCCATTCTCTACCACACCTCTTATACACAGTGTAATAAAACTGTTCTGTCTTTTCTTGTGGCAACATCACCCACCCTCTCAAAGCTCTAATTACTTTCCATAACAAACCAGGCCTTTGATAACAACTGCTGCTACTGACGTTCTCCTTTATCCTATGATTTCACTCAGTCTCTCACATTGCTCTGTTTTATACCCCCAGTGCTATAGCAAACACACACACACACAAGGCCCTCTTTCTCATCTCCACCCCTCTGACTACTACAAAACTGTACCATCACTCCTTGTCTTCCCTGTCCTGTCTTCTCTCTTCTGGTCCATTTTCATCAGAGTTTATATATGACACTCTACCACAGGCTGTCTGACCACCCATCACCATAACAACTGGCAGCAAACATTTATCAAGCCACCATGAGTTCAGATTTTCTCAACCACACATTCAGCTCTGGGCGCTATAGTGCTACCTGATGTGTATGGTTGTGAGTGTGTAATATATGCATACGTGCACACAAAAAACTGAACTTGACACTACAGTTTTGGATACTATAGGAACATGTGAGTATTTCCAGCAGTATGCAGTGATACTGAGGAATTTTGTCTTGCTCTGAGTGGACTAAACTAAGTTTCCCCTCCTCATCTCTCTTTAATTGAAATCGTACACTCTTAGCACCTCTGTGAAATATCCTATAGGAGCTATTTCTGTTCAGTTGTCTCTTTCTATCATCTTTATTTAACTGACCTATAATATTTCCCATGCATCCCCCTCTTTCACCTCTTCTCACTTTTTCACAGACTTTCTCTCCATTATCTCTATCGTGTTCTGTTCTCATCTCTGTCACCCTCTCGTGGGGAATGGGGGTGGATTAAGTGAATGAGGGGAAGCTGGAATGAAAAGTCAGCAAATGATGGGAGAGTAAAAAAAACCCACAAGAACCTAGATGGGGAAATATTAGCAAGAAGTTATGAATGGCCCGGGAAAACAAAGTCAAACAAATGCACATATGCACAAACACCTGTGTTTTTCATCTCAGTAAAGCATAACAGAGTGTAACCAACATGGGATGCCTGCTCCCTTCATCAGGGGAGCACTGCTGAAACCATTAACATTACACACTGTACTCTCTCACCTACATGCTCCTGTGTGACGCATGTTCCAGCTATAACACACACACACAGGCAAGAACAGTTAGACTAAAATCACACAGGCTAAAGTACTAATTAAAACACAGATTACACAAAAAAGTGGAAAAACCATTCTGTACATGCTTGGTTTAAACTGATCATGGAGGGTAATATGTCAAACCTAACCACAACATTTGGCTGCTGGCATGCATGTATAAGTATGTGGTGTGAATAGCCTACATACTTTATGCATTCCTCATTCACTCCTCAGCTCCTGAATAAGAAGTATGAAAATGGCAGCAAGGATAATCACACTTGTCTAAATGTGAACATCTCAATCTTTGGATTAACTCCAGAGTTTGTGTGTGTGATTTAGAGCAGTTACAAACTTAACAACAACATAATATCTGCCTTCTGGTCTCATTTTGCTTCATGGCTTCATGCTACTGCTTAATGCAGCAGTTAGTCCACTGCTTATCAGCTACATAAACACTGAGTGTTGGTAGACAACAATGGTCTTTTTCTTCAGTTTCT